CCCGCCACACCGAAAACCCCAAACCCGGGCCCCCCCCCCCCCAGGAGAGCTGCTTCCTCTGTGAAAAAGAGACAAAAGAACTCTTTCAGTCCAGATAAAGGGCAAGAAAGAATTGCCTACAGGTGTCCTAGATTGAAAAGAGATTTCAGAAGATAGAGAAAAATCGAAACCCACAGATAGTTTTATGTGTATATTTTGGGAATGCGTATGTTTGGTCTCATATCCATATTTGTAGTACCTATGTAAAATAGAAATTTCCAGTCATGATACTGACCTTAAAACTGGTCCCAAATCAGTAAAACCCCCACACAACCCAATCTCATCTTATATATCTGCAACCCAGATTATATATGATGCCCATGTGAGAAAAAAAATAAAAATATCAAAGATGAACCCCAAATAAAAATGATAAACTATACAATGAAAAGCTGCTACTGATTGTAAGTGACAGCATACAAAAGAATTGGAAGCTAGTACCTCTAAGAACTTGAGATAATAGAAACATCAAGGGAGACATTAATGAGAACAGAATAGATCTAAAAGAAAAACCACAATGAAAGCACATGAAATAAAAATCATACACACACACACACACACACACACACACACACACACAGAGGATAGAAGCATTTTTAACAGAGTATAGTAACAAGGTCCTTGAATTGAAGGAAAACATGGGTCTTGAAGAAAATTAACCAAGTCCTAAGCTGGAAAATAAAAATAAATATATTCAATGGTGGCTTATAGTGAAACTACAAAAGAGAGGTTTATACAAAATATGGCAATTAAACCAATAACAGATTTCTCATCAGCAACTATGGATGTAAAACTTCATAGAGCTCAGGGAAAATTACTGTCGATCTCAATTCTATACTCATGCTATAAAAACAAGAGTGAAGCAGACATTGTCATACAAAGACTGAAGAATTTACTACTCTGGGGACCAGCAGATGATGTAATGGTTATGTCACTGGGCTACCACATAGTAGACTGCAGTTTGAGTCCTGGACCCAGTGGCTTAAAACTCCTGCCAGGCACATGTGCATCCATGCCCAAGATCCCCAGAGGAGAATGGAGGAGAAGGGATTGTGGCATGGCTATCTTATCTCAGGTGATTTCTCTCTTTCTGTCTCTCTATCTCTCTCTGTTTCTCTGGCAAGCGCACATACCCTGTAGCAAAAATCTCTCTTAAAAACAAAATGTACTACTCTTAGATTCTAACAAAGATATCTAACAAAAACTACCTTTGTTAAAAGGAAATTAAACACAAAAGGCAAAAGTAAGATGTCAGAGCCACTGTTAAGCAAAATAATGCATGTAAATATATATAAATAAGCTATTTTAGTTTTTTCTTTATTCATGATAGAGTATGTGCATGTGCTTAAGAGAGAGAGAGAGAGAGAAATGTGAGCACCCTCCATAAGGTCTGATCATGCCGGGATCTCCTTCCTCTGGTCTTCCAACCTGTCAGATTCTGATTACCCAGGGCACACCTAGGATATTGAAGGCTGACTGAGCCAGGAATTAGAATCACAGTGACTCTGTGACGTCTGCCATCTCTTAAACAGTACACTACTACTGTGCCATGGAGCCGGCCCTAAAATAAGCTACTTTGAATAATGATTACAACAATAACGATTAAATTGAGGTGGTTTAAAATAAGATAGATTTAAAACAGCTTAAGAATTTTATTGTACTAGCAAATAATAGGCATGCTGACAATTTTTTATTTTGATGGGTAAAGTATGTATACAACACTTTTAAATATAATCATTTGAAGACTAGAAAAAACAAAATTTATTTTTTATTAGTTTTTTAAATTCATTTTATAGATTCAGTCACTGTATATTATTACAGTTTGTAAGATGGATTTTCCCACCATGAGTATATTGTATATTAGTCCAGTTAAAGATATTATACACATTATCATCAACAGACAATTGTCCATGTTTGTGCTCCTTAAATGTTTTGCTTCTTTATTTTCTCCTTGATTTCCTTCCTCTCACCCTCCCCCATTACCCACCCTTCTTCCACACTGTTTCAAGTATCCACAATAGTTCTCCATACTTTTATATCTTCCTGTCTTTCTGTTTCTGCCATAGAGTTCAGATATTTAGTATATATTAAATGGGACATGCAATGTCTCTATTTCATAGTTTTGTTTGCTTCACTCAGCAGTCAATCTTCCATATTTGTCCACTTTCTATCAGATTCCAAGGTCTTGTTGTTTTTTATGGGTTAGTAGTATTCTATTGTGAATATGTGCCATATTTTTTCTATTTGTTCATCTAGTTATGGACATTTAGGTTGATTCTACGTCTTAGAAATGGTAAATAATGCCACAATAAACAATGGATGTGCAAGCACTTCTCCAACTAAGTGTACACCTATCCTTTGGGTAGATACCTAGAAGTGGAAATGCTGGATCACCAGCTCTATTTGTAGGTCTTTGAGAAAAACAAAATTTGTAATTCTAAATAATAAAGAGCTAGAGGGCAGTTAGAGGGCAGAAAAGAAGAAAAAATAGAAAAAGTAGAGTATGTATAAAATATAAATAACAAGATAGAAACAAGTCAACATATTAATCTTGCTATATGTCAATAGACTATGTTTGTTAAAATAATAATAGATTATCTGTTTAAAATCTAAAATAATAAGAGCCATACTCAAAATATAAAACAGATTTGAGATAGAAGGAATGGAAAAGGATATAGTAGACAGATCTTAATCCAAAGAAAGCTGCTGTAGTGGTATCAGCATCAGACAAGCTAAGATCTTAATATAAAATAAAGGCACTGTTGGGTCAGCTCTAATCTGGTAATTAAGACAGCCAAATCTCACATAACTGACCACGCAGTTCAAGTCCCAGACCCAGCAGCTTGAGAAACACGTAGGGCACTTGTGCATGTGTGCCCAAAATCTCAGAAGGAGGAAGAGATGGAGAAGGATTGTGGCATGTCTATTCCCCATCCAGAGTGCTTTTTCCCTTTCCCTCTCACTGTCTCTATGTCTCTCTCTAGCTAGTGCATGCCCCATCTAGAAAAAAAAAAAGAAAAAAAAAAAAAACACCATTCCAGGAAAAGGACAATTATGTCTTGATAAAAAGAACAATTTAAGAGGATAGCAAAAGAATCACAAAACTATAGATACCAGCAAAATAGCCTCAAAATATATAAAGCAGTAATTGAAGAATCTAGATGAATCTAGATGTAACTTTATTCAGATTATAGATTCATTTAGAACTAGGCTTTAGCCCAAATCCTAATCAAAAGTGTTCTCAAAATCCAAAA